AAAATTTGAAGTGTAGGCATGGGGTCTTAGAATTTCAAATACATGAGAAAGGACCAGTCAGAAATTAACCATATACCAACTGAAATAATGAATAATGTACAGGGATTCAATAGTAGAATAGAGGATTCCGAAAATTAAATCAGTGATTTGGAATATAAGGAAGCAAAAAATACCCACCAAAAGAGCAAAAAGATTTAAAAAAAGAAAAAAGAATCCAAAAATATTAAGATAGTGCAAGGAGCCTCTAGGACAACTTAAAGTGTACCAACATTCGCATCATGGGGATGCCAAAAGGAGAAGAGAGGGAGTAAGAAACTAAAAACCTATTTGAAGAAATAATGACAGAAAACTTCCCCTACCTGGTGAAAGAAATAGATTTACAAGTCCAGGAAGTGCAGAGAGTCCCGAACAGAAGGAACTCAAAGAGGCCCACACCAAGACACATCATAATTAAAATGCCAAGGGCTAAAGACAAAAGAGAGAATCTTAAAAGCAGCAAGAGAAAAGTAGTTACTTACAAGGGCATGCCCATATGACTGTTAGCTGATTTCTCAACAGAAACTTTGCAGGCCAGAAGGGAGTGGTAAGAAATATTCAAAGTGATGAATAATAAGGACCTATAAACAACATTACCCAGCAAAGCTCTCTTTTTGACTTGAAGGTCAGATAAAGAGCTCCACAGACAAGAAAAAGCTAAAGGAGTTCATCACCACCAAACCAGTATTACATGAAATGTTGAAGCGTATTCTTTAAGAAGAGAGAGAAGTAAAAGAAATAAAAAATATGAGCCATAAAATAGCAGTAAATACATACCAGCATGCAATCTAAAAATAAACCAATAAGGAATCTAATGAATAAAATAGAATCAGTGGCATGGAATCTCAGAAGTGTGGGGCCAGGGAGCAGGAAGAGATTAACCAAAGATCTTATATATGTATATGCATTACCTATGGACCTAGACAATAGGGTGGTGAAGGCCTGCTGTAGGGTGGGAACCGGGTGGAGGGGTAAAATAGGGTAGGGGGGTGGGGGGGCATCTTGGATTTTGATAAATTAGGAAAGTGATAGTCAACATTTAAATAGTGTTCACTGCATGTCTAGTGCCAGTATCTGAAGCACTTGATTATATTAACATAAACCTATTGAATCCTCACAATTCCAGGAAGCAGGTACATTTTGTAGATGAAATTAAGTGTCTTCCCCAAGGTCACACAGCAAGTAAGTAGCAGAGCTGGGATTCAAAGTCAAAGCCTTAACAACTTTGATATAGTCCTCTTGTTAATCCAGATTTCAAAGGTGATTTGCGCTGCAGTTAACATTAATCCTTATAGGCATATCTCAGGTTCGGTTCCAGACCACAGCAATAAAGCAAGTATCACAAAAAAGTAAATTGCATGTATTTTTTTGTTTGTTTTGTTTCCTAATGCATATAAAACTTATGGTTATATTATACTGTAGACTGTTAAGTACACAATAATAGCATTATGTCTAAAAAATGTACATACTTCAATTTAAAAATACTTTATTGCTAAAAAATGCCAACCAGCCCTGACCAGTTTGGCTCAGTGGCTGGAGTGTCGGCCTGTGGACTGAAGAGTCCCAGGTTCGATTCCAGTCAAGGGCATGTACCTTGGTTGTGGGCACTTCCCCAGTGGGAGGTGTGCAGGGGGCAGCTGATCGATGTTTCTCTCTCATGGATGTTTCCAGCTCTCCCTCTCCCTTCCTCTCTGTAAAAAATCAATAAAAAATATATATTTTAAAAATGACAACCATTATCTGAGCCTGTTGGGAAAATGGCACAAATCTTCAATTTTTTTAAGTTCATTTTTAGAGAGGAAGGGAGGAGGAGAGAAACATTGATGTGAGAAAGAAATATTGATTGGCTTCCTCCTGCATGCCCCCTACTGGAGATTGAGCCTGCAACCCAGGGCATGTGCCCTACCCAGGAATGGAACCTCAAACTCTGGGTGCACAGGAGGGTGCCCAACAAACTGAGCCACACCAGTCAGAGCCAAACCTTTGATTTGTTGGAGAGAGTGGGGCAATATCTGTGAGCCAAAATAGAGCAAAGTGCAATAAAACAAAGTGTTTATCTGATGGTTTTTGGTTAGTGAGAAAAATGGTGTTTTTTTAAAAAATATATTTTATTGATTTTTTACAGAGAGGAAGGAAGTGGGATAGAGAGTTAGAAACATTGATGAGAGAGAAACATCAATCAGTTGCCTCCTGCACACCCCCTACTGGGGATGTGCCCGCAACCAAGGTACATGCCCTTGACCGGAATCGAACCCAGGACCCTTCAGTCCGCAGGCCGACGCTCTATCCACTGAGCCAAACTGATTAGGGCGGATTTTCCCCTTTTGAAAACTCTTTATAAAACAATGATTTGCCCTTGCCACCTAGTGTTACTTCCTTGGCTCTGTTGGTTTTATGTTCAAGAAATGAAAGCTAATTCAAATATTATTGTAAACTACAGTAGTCAGTCTCCTATTTAAGAGGCAGCTGATAGATGATTCTATCTCATAGATGTTTGCACACATCAAAATTTAATACATATATAAGAGATTACGGTGGTCATTTATGGATTGGTTCCTTCTAAAAAATACAGGGAGAAAGTGTTATCTGCAAGACTGCTGAGTGAATGTGTTCTTTGTACTTTCATCATTACAGCATCTCAGTTATCCAGATGAAGTACAAGGCCTGGAGGTGGGAGTGTGCTCAGCTCCTTCGAGGACCTGCAAGGAGAACACTAGGGCTAGAAGTAGAGTCAGCAAGCGGGGCATGGGGGTTAGAAGATGAGGTCAGAGCCCTAGCCAGTTTTGCTCAATGGATAGAATGTCAGTCTGTGGACCAAAGGGTCATGGGTTCGATTCTGGTCAAGGGCACATACCTTGGTTGCAGGCCCTCCCCAGTCAAGGCTCGTGCAACCAATTGATGTGTTTCACATCGATGTTTCTCTCTCTTTCCTTCTCTCTTCCACTCTCCCTAAAAATCAATGGGAAAATATCCTCTGATGAGGATTAACCAAAACAAAAACAAAAAAAAAGAAGATGAGATCAGAGAGGTTTGTTTTACATTTGAGCTTTTCCTCCACTCATATGGAGTAACAGAGTATGGAAGGCCTTATGGGCCATGTTAGGATTTTGTATTTTATTCTAAGTGAGATGGGAAGTTATTGGAGATTTTTGAGCTGATAAGATTTCCAATTAAAAATATTAATTACTCTGGCTGCTGTGTGGAGAATAGATTGGGTTACAGGAGCAAGTGGGGGTGGGTGGACAGAGAGACCATGTAGAAGGCTATTGTAGTCTGGGCTACAGATGACGAGATGACAAATGAAATTATTACCTATCTCCAAGAAAGGTTGGGAGACCTAATTAAGAAAACATCACTTGAGTCCCTCATACAGCCCATTTCACAATATTAGTCTGCAGTATTTGTTAATTCCCTTCCTTTCCTTGGAGTTTGCGCTCAGCTGTATTAGGACCATAGGGGACTGGTTATTAGGTAGAGATCAGCATTCACAAGGAATGGGATTCTGAGCAGTACCTCAGTCATTTGATCCCAACAGGAGACTTTATTCTTGGCACACTGTTCATTCTGTTACCCTACCTACCAGAGGCCTAAAAAGACCGAATCTGTGCCAGAACTCTTGGGCTGCTCTGTTCTCATTGAGGCATTCAATCTTCAATTCTTTCTGCAGTTGCTATCTTAGCCACAGTTTGAACAGCCTCTTTTACAAAGTATCTTTTCAGCCACCTGGACTTGCAAGCTGGAGCTCTCTGATACTCATCATGACAGGGTAATTTCACATACCTGAGAGGGCCCTCTAAGAAAAAGAAAGAGGTTTTGTGATCTTTGTTTAACATTTGAGCTTTTCCTTCACTCGTATGATGTAAAGCCTTAATATGCCACCTTGACTTCTGGGTTTTGCAGCATGAGAAAAAAATCTCATGTTTTAGTACATTATACTTCTTTGGGAAAAGCTTGGTCCTTGGTGTACACAAGGTAACTTTCTTAGCATTGTGGACAAGGTTTCCTTCCCTACAAAAGTCCACCTCAATGTCTGCTTGCTTGAACTGTGTATATCTTATTGGTAGACAGCACTGATGAAACAATGCTGCCATCTTGACATAATGTCAGGATTGCCTGTCCAAAGAGGGCTCTGGCCACCTTAATTTCCTTGGGGTGCAGTACAGTTTTGGGGTGGGATAGGGTAGGGTCCAGGAGGTCTAATTGTGTCACAGGCAATAGGAAAGGTGAATCCCCAGAAACTGACAAACAGAATTTGCTTTAACAGTAGTTAATTGTGTCTCCTAAGATGTTTTGCTTTTTCTTCCTTTTGAAAGTGAGTTCGGGTTACTGGAGTGTCACAGGTGAAAATTTGGGTGCTTTTGCAACTCATGTACTATACTGCCTCTGGAAATGACTGACTGGCCCGGCTCTAAACCTACCCTGTAAATAGACTAAGCCAGGCCCTATGAGGACCAGCTGTCTTTAGGAACACTGTTCTGTTTTCAGGGAGAAATCATTTTCCCCTTCACCTCAGTTAGAATGTGCCCTAGCCTTGCTGCTCCCTTCTTAGCTGAGGCCCAGATGAGAGCCAGCGCGCCATTCATTTGGCAGCCCCATGGGCCTTTCCAAAAGCCCATGATAGAGAGAGGCAACCTACAGGAAATGCTAAATGAGTACATCCAGAGCTTGTGAGCATAAAAGACCTTACAGATGCGCCTGTATTTTTCATTTAATTATGTGGATAGGTAGATTTTCTTTTCCTCACCCACTCGTCTGTGCTGACTGAAATATTTTATCCTTAGTAATAGTTTCGAGCAAATTGTTGCTACAGATAAAAACATAGATATATTTTCAGCCAACATGCTACTAATTAAATTGCTTATCTATCTAAACTTGGGCCTGTGCTGCTCATATCAGATGTCCCTGGTATCTTCCTTGAGTGAGTTGCCTTGTGTTCCATGACCTTGTTTTTTTGTTCATTACAGTGTGAGTGACTGCCCCATGTTGTGTTGATGCCGGTCTGCCATGCTAGCCTGTCTACCAGGGCCAGGTGACCTGTCCTTTCAGCTTCTTTCTCACACGCAGATGAACACTGGACTTCAGAAATGTAAGTAATCTGGATCCCAGGGAAGGTTGTGGTCCTTTGTTTTGACCCTACATTTGAGCTGTTTCGGAGGGGTACATTGACTATGGACTTTGATATCTTCAAGATATTCTTCAGTACAGACAAAAGAAAGCAATTGCAAAAACTTGTCAGCAGTGTGAGATACCTTTGATCAGAGAGATCCTCTCAAATACTAGAATTTCCCAGTGTATACCATCTTAATTTTAATTGTTGCTGATAACTCTCTTGAGCACTATAAGGAGTTTTACAGGAGATATATAATCACTCTTTAAAAAAGTATCTCAAACGGAATCCCCACGAGGAATTAAATGAAACGCACAGTTCAGATTCCTTATTATATCTCCGAAACAAACTGTTTACACTGCTCCTTTGTTTTGGACTCTCTGACTACTTTCTACCATGGAAACAGACAATTCCCTTTGGCTCTGCTGTCTGCCTTCTGAGCCAGTGCCCTCAGTTCACAGCAAGTAAAGCAGCTTCCGCCTTCAGAGGGATAAGGAGCTAGCTTTCTCAGTCTTTCTGGTATATTCCTGCTAATATACTTCCCATATGATTGAGCTTTTGAGAATTGTCTGTTAGATTTCTGTCTCAAACTGGCGGGAATTGGGGCTTTGTACTTCATGCTTTCCCAGATTACTACCTTCTATCCTTGAACTGCATGAATGTGCAAGGAAATGATTCTATTCCTGGCTCATTACCATGTACAGTATCTTCAGGTGTCAAAATGGTCCTAAATTTGGAATAGACTTTCCTTTTAGAGCAAAAAGGGGAAATCAATGAAACATCTACACTTCCCTTTTAATAGAAAAGGTTCTTCAACATCTTATCTGATCCTTGATGATAGGGTTCTGTACAGGGCCAGAGAGCAAATGTTTTAGGCTTTGTGGGCCATGGTCTCTGTGGCATCTACTCAGCTCTGCTATTGTAGGGCAAAGGCAGCTGTAGACGATATGTAAACACTGCATGTAACTGTGTTCCAGTAAAACTTTTAATTAAAAACAGCAGCTGGATTTTGGCCCAAAGACCATAGTTTACTGACCCTATTCTGTGAGATCATCTTCAGAAGTTAAAATAATCTAGCTTCTGACTTCCTTTCTTTGAGGGAGAGTAAGACTCAGAGTCTGGCTAGATCTAGGATTTGGCCAATGAATCCAGCATATATAACGACAAAACTGAAGGTGACCGTCTTCCTTCTGCAGTAGGCAAGCTCTGCTGTGCCAGCTTTCTCCCCAGCCTTTCTTTTCATAAGTGATGACAGGTGATGAAGTTGTATTTGCTCCCTGGCCACCCAGATCTCCATGCTAACTGCATTGTGACTGGTTATGGGCTTCCAGAGGACACAACTGGAAAGGGAGTATACTTGGAAGTATACAGTAAGATGATAAAGAGCAGTTCACTGTCTTCTACATTCCTTGACTTACTTTGACAGCTTCACCTAGAGATGTGATGTCAAGGGATGAGCCATTTGGGAGGACAGGCAAATTGGCAGCTTTGTCTTGGGTGCTGACATTGAGATCTCCACTTTACTTTTCCCCCAAAGCAGCTCCTAAGTAGCCTCTGCTAACCACTGTCCCTCGTCTATATTTGAGAATTGAGATGTCCTTCTTTCCTGGTTTCAGACTCAACAGTCCATTTGGGGGACAGTGTATTTAAATTCCTTTGACTCTCTTGTTGCTATCCTTAACTAAATCCACACCTTTGCAGAGGAGAAATACTATTGGTATTTTTAAGCCTGCTTGCTTGCTTCTCTCCTCTCCCAAAAGGTATAAAAAAAAAGAAAAATCTTGACTTATAGCTGTTAATGTTAAACATTTACAGTTAAGGTGAGCTAGAGCATAAGCTGTCTTCTTCAGGAACCAACAGCTAAAGAGCTGCTTAGAACTCAAGTTTACCAGTTATAGAAACCTTAAAACTTCCATTCTTAGAAGGGTCTTCTAAATTCCTAGAAACACAGAGCTTGGTATCTGGTGGGGTGAGGATGAGATATGGATGTTGATAGCTTACTGTGCTTTATGTTGTAAGAGTCAGCTCAAGGCAAGAGAATTGGATCAGGGGTCAGGAGTCGGGATATGTGGCTTCTTGGCCCAGCACTATAAGTCACCTGGCTAATCACTTTTTCCCAGGCTTGAGTCACCACATGTATAAATAGAGTCACAGGATTGATTCCTTCTAACTCCACATTTTCTCTTCTCTCCTTCCTGTTCGGTGTGTGTAGGAGAATGTGATGTTTCACAGCCTAGATGTATAATTTGCCATAGGGCAGGCTGGATTAAAGAAATCTTGGTTTGGTGTGGGTCCTGTACTTGGTAGAGGACCAGAGTTAGGGTTAGATGGATGCCTCCCAGAGCTTTTCTAGATTATATATTTCATGATGCCACTTGCTTTGAGAGTCCTAGCCATTTTGGAATTCTGTACTTGGAAATTTGTTTTCCTCTGACCCACCTTCTCCTAATCCCCCAGAAATATGTGTTTTTGAACATTTTTTTTATTAACTCCAAGCTCAGTTTATGGTCAGGTATATAGTAGTGGCTCAATAAATATTTTTGGATGAATGGCTGAAATTATCAGAAGACCTTGGTTTGGCTCAGTGGATAGAGCGTCCGCCTGCGGACTAAGGGTCCCGGGTTCGATTCTGGTCAAGGGCACATGCCTGGAATGTGGGGTGTGCAGGAGGCAGCTGATCAATGATTCTCTCTCATCATTGATGTTTCTATCTTTCTCTTCCTCTCTAAAATCAATAAAAAAAATATATTTTTTAAATATATATGTGAAGAATTTGACCTTATTTATTTACTTGTCAATATTTTTAAAAAGACCTTGGTTTTCAAATCATCTTTTAGATAATAACTTTGACCTATTTTATTGCAGAGTTTTGGAGCTGGAACAAATGTCAAAATTCTTTTACTGCTTCTTAGTATTGTCTGTCTGCCCCCTAGTGGGAGGGCCTGGAAATTGTTAATTGGACCAAATGATTGAATAAACTCATAGAAATATCAGCAATATTAACTAGCATCTGTTCATCTGTTGAGTTGCTAAGCATGTGCCAGGCACTATCTTGAGTTGTTTTTTTTGTTTGTTTGGTTTTTTTTCCATCACCATTTAATCTCCTCTTGCCCTCTTCTAACTCCACTCACTCCCTTCCCTCCTACAATCACCACACTGTTGAGCATTTTTAAAATATATATACATTTTTTGAATACTTTTTATTGATTTCAGAGAGGAAGGGAGTGGGAGAGAGAGATAGAAACATCAATGATGAGAGAGAATCATTGATCAACTGCCTCCTGCACACCCCCTACTGGGGATTGAGCCCACAACCCAAGCATGTGCCCTTGACCAGAATCGAACCAGAGACCCTTCAGTCCGCAGGCCAATGCTCTATCCACTGAGCCAAATCAGCTAGGGCCTGTTGAGTATTTTTATATGTTATTATTATTTTTAATGTATTTTTATTGATTTCGGAGAGGGAGGGAGAGATAGAAACAGCAATCGGCTGCCTCCTGCATGCACCCAACTGGGGACTGAGCCTGCAAGCCAGGCACATGCCCCTGACCAGAATCAAACCCAGACCCTTCAATCTACAAGCTGGCGCTCTATCCACTCAGCCAAACTGGCTAGGGCCTGTTGAGTATTTTTATATATGTTGTTATTCATTCCTCAATAATTCCGTATGGGAGACACTCTTATCTTTCTTTTAAAGATGAGGCACAGAGTGTTTGCCACTTGCCAACATCACATTACAGTTCAGTGATTGGGCTAGAACTCACACTTGGTTCAGATTCCAAAGCTTGCGTTAGAAACACACTGCTTGTGCCTCTCCACCTATAGATAGAGGTTTCTGCTGTATATGCCACCCATGTCACCTGACCTTCAAAATAGAAGGATACATACGGAGGTCCCTGTGGGGAAGCCTGTATTCAAGCAGATTTCCCCCTAGTCCCAAGAATAGACAAAAGTGCTTTTGGCTACATTTAACTCTCCAGACTCAAGTCCAGGGTGTCCTGCAGTGGGAGCTTCCTTTGTCAGGGTTCTTTGTCCTGTCTTTGGACAGACTTAGCCAAAACTGATATCCTTGAATAATAAATATCAACAGTCATTGTTCCTGTACACAGAGTATTTTCCCATTCATCGGATCTCTTGATCTTAGTAATCCTGTGAAGCAGGACAGTAGATATCATACCTGTTTGTTATAAATGAGGAATGACTGAGACTGGGTAGTTAGATAATAAAGTCAGTACTTGAATCTGGATCTCTCTTTTCTTCTAACGACATATCCCCTATTCTTTATACTGCCTCATGTCTTGATTAATGACTCAGTTGGTACTTGATATTTAAGTAATTTGCTTACAAAGCTGTAGTATCTATGTGTTAGCTGAGCACTTAAGATGTTATAGAAGAAAGAGAGACTCTAGGATGCCTGTGTGTGAGGACTGAGATAAAAAGTATTGAGAGCTGGCTGGAGTGGCTCAGTGTTTGGGTGTCAACATATGAACCAGGAAGTGATGGTTCGATTCCCAGTCAGGGCATATGCCTGGGTTGTGGGCTCAATCCCCAGTGTGGGGTGTGCAGGGGGCAGCCAGTCAATGCTTCTCTCTCATCATTGATGTTTCTTTCTCTCCCTCTCCCTTTCTCTCTGAAATCAATAAAAATATATATTTTTAAACTATATATGTGAAGAATTTGACCTTATTTATTTATTTATTATCATTATTTTAGAACTTGACCTTTTTTAAAAGGTTGGGCTTAAGTCATATGTGAAGTGGTTGGTACTGAATTACCAGAACATGGCCTCTGGTCCAATATATTCATCTCATCCTTGAGATTCTTCCTTAATAAAAATCCTGTAGCCTGTGTTACCTCCCCTCTCACCCATTACTTCCCTTTGATGCTTGTCCCTTTGTTTGACTACCCCCATTACTGCTGTCACCATCAGTGGAGGCAAGACAAGAAGAACTAACTAGCCTTGGCCTGTGGGGGAAAAAGAACTAATCAATGTCAGTGTCATACTCCTGAATGTATCCCTTCTTCCTCTGCTAGAAAAAACAGCAACCTGAGAGTTGGTACTGACTTGAAAAAAGGAACTCTATTGATCTCTGGTCAGGGTACATACAAGAATCAACCAATGAATGCATGAATAAGTGGAATAAATCTATGGCTTGTGCCCTCTCTCTTCATCTTCTTCTTCCTTCTTTCTTCTCCCTTCCTCCCCTCCTTCTCCCACCCCACCTTTCCCTCTCTCTCTCTTTCTCAAAATAAATAAATAAATAAAATTTAGAAAGAAACTCTGTTATTCAGCAAGCTCAACTGTATTCCTCTCTCTTGGCCTTCAAGGAGAAAAGCCCACTAACATGGAGGAGAGCCCAGGGGCAGACCGTTATTTCCTGTCTGAACTAAAACTCAGTAGCTTCAAACTCCCATTCCTCAGCCCAGTTCAGTTGTTCAGTCAGGCAGTGCCTATACTGATGGCACTTAACAGGTATTTGCTACATAGCTGCTCGAGGTAAGACACTGAGCTAGGAGTGTTACATGATTTTAACCAAACAGACACCTAAGGCCAGTGGCTGACCAGGTCAGTTTCTAATGGAATTCTGGTACCTTGAGCTTAGGAACTATGGCTCAGTGATTCTAGACTTTTTTTTTTAAATATATATACCTTATTGTCAAGGAGAATGTAAGAAGGGTCAGAAAAGGCTCCACTTTATGGAGACTGGAGCCCATTAATTAACCCTTTGTACACCATAAGTGTCTATAGACGCAATGAAATTCAAAATATCACAGCGTGTAGCGATGGTTTCCATTTTGGATGAGTGGCAGTTAAGGGACAGTGGCCTACAAAAAGCAGAACTCAAACTCTGCTCTCAGAGCTTTGACCCTCCTCAGCAGCTAGTGGATGGGAAAGATTTCTGAGACTCTGCCTTCCTCTCCCTCCTACCCCAGTTGTCACCATCACATTCATCTTAAGATGTTCATGAAATCTGTCATCTTACAGACATTTCTTTTATGGGTAGAGCATTTATCCTGTAAATAAAGCAGACCCGCACTAACCAGTTTGGCTCAATGGATAGAGTGTGTCAGCTTGTGGACTCAAGGGTCGCAGGTTCGATTCCGGTCAAGGGCATATACCTTGGCTGCGGGCACATCCCCAGTGGGGGGTGTGCACCTCCCGCAGGCCCCCTACTGGGGACCGAGCCCACAACCCAGGCATGTGCCCTTTGCTGGAATCGAACCTGGTACCCTTCAGTCCCCAGGCCGACGCTCTATCCATTGAGCCAAATCAGCTGGGGCTCATTGATGTTTCTAACTCTCTATCCCTCTCCCTTCCTCTCTGTAAAAAATCAATAAAAAATATTTTTAAAAAACTAAAGCAGACCCTTAAACATGTTTGCCTATCTGCTAAGTCAAGGCATTGTTCCAGTATTTGAAAGCATTAAGCCTTTTTCCTGTCTGTACTCTTTTTGCTAAGTTCTACCTTCTTGAGTGTGGACCCGAATTCTCTGCCTATCCTAGACTTGAGCTTTCTTTTCCTGCTTCCAAGAGCAGCAGTTTCTAAGCAGTTGCTGCCAACTAACCAGCAGTGTCACCAAAGGATGGTAGCTGGGCCTCTTTAGCACACGCACTAGCCTACTTCTCTTCCAGGTGATGCCCAGTGACATGATTTTCAAATAAGGTCTCCTTGAGCCAGGCCAGCTGAAGTCACAAGCCCAGCATTCAGTCAGCTTTGTCCCTGCTCTATATGGCTGCCTTCTGCAAGGGGAGGAAGTAGGGAGGGACCTGCTAGCTGAGCCTAGGTTCCCAGCCAAGCCCCCTTCCTTCTGCTTTGGGCAGTTTGTGTACTTAGTCACTCAGCAAGCCTTTATTAAGCACCTTTTGTGTAAACTCAGGGGAGACCCTCCCTCAGAGAGAGGGATAACAGAGCAGAGACCCCGTGTAGGAGCCTGGCATCCTGAAAGAGCTCTTGTTCTCAGAACCTTTTCCTTTTTGACTGGAAACACAACATCCGCTGGAGCCCCCTGATGGGAGGCAACTGGAGATAGGAACAAAGAGACTGTTAACATTAATGAGGCACATTGAGTGGGTATTTCCGCAGTCTCCAAAGGAAGTCAGATTTTTCCTCTTTCATTTTGGAAAGTGACAGCTGACAAGGGCCAAATACAGACTATTTTTGGCTCTCAGGACTTAAAGATTCTCTAAATCCTTTCTTCTCAAATTCCCTCTCTGCTGCCTTGTCATTATTGTCACCCCCCTCAAGGAAATAAAGCCTTTTGATCTTTACCCAGTCAGGCTGAGAGTAGTAAGCTGTAAACAAAAGTGAACTTGTGACATGGGATGGGGAGGGATGTTGGCAGCTTACTCCTCTGTTCCTAAAAAAGAAGCATCCTGTCTACTGTGCCAGGATGCCCACCCAATGGGCATGACGCCCCAGCTGCCAATGCTAAGGAGAAAGCTGATGCCTCACTGGCCACTGCAGATGGAAGAGTAGTCACTCTGGCTGCCCTCTTTACCAGGATGTCCCAGGGAAAGGGACTGAGGGCTCTCATAAGCAGCTCTGCTTAGAATCAGCAATACCCAGGCCAGCATGGGCTGGAAGGAACTTGGAGAAAGTTCCATGTAGAACAACTCCGTGAGAACTGGCCAGCTTCTGTCTCTGCCAGATTCTGGACTTTCGAAAGTTGCTCTGCTATTTCTGTCTTTAGTGATGTCATTTGTAAAACAAGCATCATAATAGTACCTGCTTCCTAAAGCAGTAGCAAGTATTCGTTGAGGTAGCCTGTCACATAGCACAAGGCCTGGCCCATTAAAGTATTGATGGGGCCTGAGGCTGGGTCTGACTCTGAAGGCTAGGGAGACAACTTAGTTAGTCCCTCACCTCCCCCCTTTTACACCCTCAAAAGGGGAATCTAGAAGGCTGGTTGGCTTGGCACTGATGAGCTCCCTCTCCTTCTTTGCTCTCCTTCCCCTTCTCTCTCTCTAGGGGACACTACACAGAAAATGAGAACTGCTCACTATCCTACCCCAGCCGAATTGGACGCGTATGCTAAGAAGGTCGCAAACAACCCACTGACTATAAAAATCTTCCCCAACAGTGTGAAGGTTCCCCAGCGGAAACACGTTCGTCGTACTGTGAACGGCCTCGACACATCAGCCCAGCGCTACAGCCCCTACCCGACTCAGGCTGCCACCAAGGCAGGCCTGCTTGCCATTGTCAAAGTGCCAGCCAAAAGCATACTCAAGGACTTTGACGGCACCCGTGCCCGGTTGCTCCCTGAGGCCATCATGAACCCCCCAGTGGTGCCCTATGCTACTGTGGCACCCAGCACTTTAGCCCACCCCCAGGCCCAGGCTCTGGCCCGCCAGCAGGCCCTGCAGCATGCACAGACCCTGGCCCACGCCCCTCCCCAGACGCTGCAGCACCCTCAGGGTATCCCGCCACCCCAGGCGCTGCCCCATCCTCAGAGCCTCCAGCAGCCTCAAGCCCTGGGCCACCCTCAGCCCATGGCCCAAACCCAGGGCTTGGTCCACCCTCAGGGTCTGTCTCACCAAGGTCTCCAGCATCCCCCCAGTTCCTTGTTGCATGGAGGCCGGAAGATGCCAGACTCAGATGCCCCCCCGAATGTGACCGTGTCTACCTCAACTATCCCCCTCTCAATGGCGGCCACCCTGCAGCACAGCCAGCCCCCGGACCTGAGCAGCATTGTGCACCAGATCAACCAGTTTTGCCAGACGAGGGCAGGCATCAGCACTACCTCAGTGTGTGAGGGCCAGATCGCCAACCCCAGCCCCATTAGTCGCAGTCTGCTCATCAATGCAAGCACCCGGGTGTCGACCCACAGCATCCCCACACCAATGCCTTCATGTGTGGTCAATCCCATGGAGCACACCCACGCGGCCACAGCCGCATTGCCTGCGGCAGGCCCTGTCAACCTGCCCACGGGCATCTCTCGAGCCCCCACTGGCTATCCTAATGACCTCAAGCCAGTTGCCTGGAACCAGCATCAGCTGGCCCACCTACAACAGATGTGCAGTGAGGCTGGTGGGACGCCAGCCCCTGGTCTGACAGGCAAGCATGCGACAGGACGCGAGTTGGCAGGGCCTGGCTTTGTGGGCAAGGCCCCTGCCTACCCGCAGGAACTCTGCCTGGCACAGTCCTTCCATTTGAAGCCACCCATGGAGAAGCCAACCCCATCCCCACCAGTCAACGGCCTAGCAGCCCCACTGGCCTACCCCAATGGTCACTACTTCCAACCCCTGTGGAACAACATTCTGCCCACTCCCAATAGCGACAGCTCGGGGTCTCAGGACCTCACCATGCCGTTCCACGGTGGGCAGCCCACGGGTGCACCCCTCGACTGTGCGGCAGCTGCTGGGGCCCACTACCGAGCAGGGACCGGGGCCGGTCCAGTGGCAAGCCAGAACAGCTTGATGCAAACAGTGGATTACCTAAGTGGGGATTTCCAGCAGGCCTGCTTCCGAGAACAGAGTCTGGCCATGCTAAGCAAGGCTCATCGAGCCCCTGGCAGCCGAGCCCCTGACCCCACAGATAGTCGAAGTCTTCACCAGCTATACATCACACACCCCCTCCTAGGTCTAGTCTTACTTTTGAGTAATTGGATAGTTTCAAATTTTTACTGCTCCAATGTGATCATTCTTAGGTTTCTAAGAAGGGAATTTAGTGAGATCTAATTGAGGACAGAGGGGGACTCTCTGTGCCCTCATTCTCTCCCGTCCACCAGCCCTAGCAGTTTTTGGATTTATGTTCGGACCTAATCCCAATCCCAGGCTTTTTTTCTTCACTGCCTGCCTGTCAGTCAGTCCTATGCCATGTCCATCTCCCTTCCCCCCCTTGCATTTTCCACCGGCCACCTCCTGTCTTTTCCTGCTCTGCCTACCTTAGGACTGAGTGAGCTAAGGGCCCGAGGTGAGGCAGCTATAGGTGCCCAGCCCCCTAAGCTAGGCCTCTCCCTGTTTGTCTCTCTTTCTCTAGGACTAAAAAGCCAGGCTTCCCAAGTGCTCTGGAAGCTAATTCCTTATTCACCTGAAAGACCTCAAATCAAAACTGACCAGTCTTCATCTCTTCTCAGCCTCTCTTCATTCCTCAAGGCTTTTATGTCTACATTGATCCCAGAGCCACTGAACTTACCCTTGCCATACTTCTCAAGGGCATCCTGCAGGCACTTGGCCATAGCCTTGAGACATGAGGAAAAAATGTGTCTTTGTGTTGTATCTTGGTTCCTGATTCCCCTTTCCAGCCCTAGAGAAATGCAGTGACCATCCAGCATATCTAAGATCCTTTTCTCACTGTTGCCTCTCCTCACTCATCTGCTGCCCTCATTCCCCACCCCCATCCAAAAAACAAGTAAAACAAAAAAACCGATCTTACTTGAGGAATTAGGTAGGTAAGGGATGATCACATTGGAGTTTGGAATTAAAAACACCAAAAAAAAAAAGAAAAAGGCTTTTTGGTTCTCTACACTGGCTAAGAATATTGCTCTACACTGTAAGTTTTAAATGTCATGTTTCTGTATGAATGTAGTGTGGATTTGAGTAGCATTGTGTGCGAGTGGCCCCACAGGTACATTCACCTTCTAGACACCTCCTTTCGCAGCCCCTCAGTTTGATGAAGAAAGAAAGAAAAACACAAAGCCTTAAGCTCTTTGAATTCTTCCTTTACCAAATGAGCATGGTTCAAACAGCTGAAGATGGGCGAACATTAGTAACAGCCCCTCGCGCCCCTTGCCCATTCTTCACTCATACCCACTCCATGCTCAACACATCCAATTCCCAAGAGATAATTAGTTGGCTAGAAATTTAAGCTTTTCTGTAACTTGACATTTAGATTATGTTTTGTGAATTTTTTTGCACCCTCCTGTTAAAGATGCATAGTTGGGCTCTGCCTTTTTTTTTTTCTTAACCAAATAAGCCCTTTTTCCTCTCTTCTCTGGGGAATGTGAGCTGATGGTCTTATTTAAAATTTGGGGTTTTGTTTACTATCCACTGTTCTTTAGCCAGAATTCTCTAGTGATCTGAATCAATGTGACTGAAGACCAGTTTTTAAATTATGTGTTGGCAAGTTGCCTTATATTTAAAAATAGGAAAAAAGAAAAGCCTGATTGTGTTATGCCAAATGATAGCAACATGAAGTCCTAATTTATTGTTCCTGATTGTTTTCCTGACGTCTGTGAACACTGGTACCTCCCTGTCCCTGAGCCCCCAGGAGCACCTGTTGCTTCTGGTGCAATGCCTTCTCCCAAGGTGTTGGCCACCATCTCACCCAAGGCCCCCTTCCAGTTCTTCCTTCTCTGAGTTAAATTGAAAGCGCACTACTGTCTCTCCTTAGCCCTTGCTTGAGCTCCAAACCAGATATTTTTGCTGTGATTTTTTTTCTAATGCCTCTCCCCAAAAGGTGAGCTGCCATTTTAGGAAATTGGACCAGACACCAACTTGGGGGCTTTATATCAAACCTCAAACCCATCTCTTCCTGTGTGGGGGTGCAAATCTCTGAAGCTCTCACTCCCACCCCTAATCTGCATGGAAAATGTACTGTGACCCCACCTTCGCCCCCAACTGCCCTTGCCTTTGGTGTGAGATGTTTCCTAGTTCACCCTGAGCTCCTCAACCCTCTGCCAGCCAACCCCCAGCCAGCAATAAGAGGCCAAACCAGGCCTCCTATCTATAATCCCTGCCTCCATCCTACACTGCCCCCAGGGAACACTCAGTTTCCCTGAGCTGTCCACATACTGTAGCATTCACTCTCCATCTCTCATCTTCTCACCTGTGGTGGTTTATGGGTGTGATGGGGTTTTTAAGATTATTATAAACCAGTAAAAAGAAAAAAGTCACCTTTCAATCTTGTCCTATTTGTTTATAGTGGTTTCTAACGTCTCATTTACTAGAAGGGAAGTAATTTCTCATTTTAAAGAGGGGAACCCCCGTTCATCCCATTCGGAGCCCCCTCCCCCCCAATTCATTATTGCAGACCAGGTATTGGGATTGTAAGGAATGAAATACGGTCAGTCCACAGGAGGTACCCAGGACCTCTCCCTAGGCAGGACTGCTGGGGCCTTGGTGGGTTAGCATGTCTTCCGTGGAGGTCTGAAGTGTACTGCCACTTTCACTCCAAGGATCCTAAGTCACTGAAAAATGGGTAATTTGCTAATAAGCTACTTAAACGTCCCTCCCTCCACTTCTCCCACCTCCAACAGGCATTCTGAGGGCCTCTGACAGACGTGGAGGTAGTAAGTGCTATAATCTGTAAAATGAAAAGTAACTCTTGGTGAATCTTAGGGGTCTAGTATTGGAGAACTTTCCCCTTTTTTGTCTGCAGAGGGGAAAAAATCTAAGAGAGCTACTTACAGTCCTAGTTGGTTTGGCTCGATGGATAGAGGGTCGGCCTGGGGACTGAAGGACTCCGGGTTCAGTTCCGGTCAAGGGTACATGCCTGGGTTGTGGGCTTGATCCCCAGTAGGGAGTGTGCAGGGGCAGCTGATCAATGATTCTCATCATTGATGTTTCTATCTCTCTCCCCCTCTCTAAAATCAATAAAATATAGATATAGATATATGAAAACAAAAGAGCTACTCAAAGTTGAACAACGGGGGTAGAGAAGTTAGAGGTGCCTCTCCCCCATTCCTGCATAGTCTAAAATGACTCTAGCCCTAGCCAGTTTGGTTCAGTGGATAGAGCGTCAGCCTGCAGACTAAAGGGTCCCAGGTTCAATTCCAGTCAAGGACACATGCTTGGGTTGCAGACTTGATCCCCAGTAGGGAGTGTGTAGGAGGCAGCCTATCAGTGATTCTCATTGATGCTTGTCTCCCTCTCTGAAGTCAATATATATATGTGCCTAAGTGACTGGACAACCGGCCGGTAGCTATGATGTGCATTGACCACTAGGGGGCAAAGGCTTAATGCAGGAGCTGCCTCCTGGTGGTCAGTGCACTCCCATAGCCAACCTCCCCACAGCCAGCCAACCTTGCACGGTCCCTCCCCCAGCTGGCTGGCCCCAGTTGGCCCTGGTCACCAGCCAGGCAGAGGGACCCCACCCATGCACAAATTTGTGCACTGGGCCTCTAGTGTTAAATAAAAATAAAATGACTCCAAAAACTTTACTAATAACCTGTTGACAGGAAGCCTTACCAATAACAGCCGATTACGCATATTTTGTATGTTACATGTAGTATATGCTCTATTACAGTAAGCAAGAGGGAAAATATTTAAAAACCAAGCAGTATATTTACAGTATTTATTGGGAAAAAAAATCCATGTATGTGGACTCGTGCAGTTCAAACTCGTGTTGTTCAAAGGTCAACTAGATTCCCTGGTCCCCCTTTCAGTTGGTTGAACATCATCCTGTGCAATGAAGAAGGGTTACCAGGGCATACCTGAGTTGTGGGTTTGATCCCCAGTTGGGACACATACAGAAGGCAACAAATCGATTCAGCCAATGGAGGTGCTATTTCTCCCTGTCTTTCCTCTCTCTTCCCCTCTCTCTAAAAATCAACCTAAGTATGTCCTTGGGTGAAGATTAAAAAACAATTAAAACAAAAACCTGACCTGAGTTCCACAAGGCAACTGTGACTGCCTATGACACCACTGGAATGAGGGCTAGGCCTGAGTATGGAGTTGACTGCAATATGCAATACACTATTGTTGCACACAACTCTAGAGAGCAGGTTCCCTGGAATGGTACAGTGGCCGTCTTCCCTGAAGACTGCCCAAGCTTGATCCATTGTATCTGATGCTCTTGGAAAGATGGGTCCATCTGTTGCCTGAAGCAAATGCTTAAGACATTTCTTCTGCTAGAGCAGCGGTTGCCATCTGGTGGTCTGTGAGGTCCGAAAGGTTGGTGACCGCTGGTTTAAGGAAACGAGCTAGAGCACATGTCCCTACTAGCGTCCAGGAGTCATTGTCCCAGGGTGGTTTTATCTGATGAAGAGGCCACCTTTATTAGAAAGGCAGCCAGGGCCCATCTCTCCCTAGATCAGTGAATTTGACCTTTTGAAGGCTAAGTTGGTGGTTAGTTTCTCAGGCTGAACTACAGCCCTTGAACCTTCCCTCTACTAGATAAGTTTCCATCATTGGGCCTCTTCTCAGGGCAGGGCCAGCCAAGAGTAAGGCACTTAATGCTGATGGGATCATCTTTACAGTAAATCTAGATGAGCAGGATTACTCTCATTTTACCAGGAGAGCAAAATGCTTCTCCATATAGCTAAGTAACTTGCCAAAAAGGAAGCAAGGCAAGGATCCAAATCTAACTTTTGGCAAAATGATAAGGAATCTATACATCTAGGAATTGCTGGAGCTTGAAACAGAATCCAGGCCCTGCCCCAAACCGGCTCAAGTCAATACACTTTTCTGTTCCTATTTCATGTTAAATGTGCATAATCATAGGCACCCACCGAGGAGTATATGAAAAGCAAATGAGTATGGATGAGAAAATCCGAGCACTGTGTACACCCCAAGGCCCCTTTGCTCAGCTTTGTCTCTGGATGTGGGCTGGGCTTTGGAGTTAACATTCATCAAGCACTTATTTTGTGCTAGGAATATGCTTTATCTCTCTCATTAAATCTTCAATACATCCTACTAAAATAGGTTATATTATGTTGATAAAAACTATATTTCACTTGATGGTATTAAATAAAATAATGCATGTACAGTGTCTGCCATATGAAAGTAATCACCACCAGAGGGCAGCAGCAGGCATCTCTTCCACACAAAGCCTGGTGCACTTCCCCTGTCGTCCACCAGAGGGAGACCCGTCAGGGCAGCTGATCCTGGGGGCAAAGGAGCAGCCAGTCTGACTGGTCTTTGCTTTCACAGTTGGGCCCAGCCTTCCAGGGCCCTAATCAACCCAGATGAGTCAGACTGGAACCAAATTAATAAATACAATTCAAGATTTATTAAAAATCAGGGCTCCCTGCTGTGCCCTCCTGGCACTAAGTAAATAAATAACCAGAAGACACAGAGGGAAGAGAAATCAGATCCCAAGACAGATTCTTTAACTACCCAACTCTCCCTCCCCCCTATGGCTCTTGGGACATAGCACCAGCAGGCACCTCAGTCCAGGTAGAATGTGGCTGGCACCAAGGCATGTCTGCCCTGCCCAGGAGAGGAGACAAGCCCTGGGATCACTTGTTTCCAAGCCCTTGATGACCCCAAGACCTGCTCGGCCAGGGCTGAAGCACCAATAGGAGGCACCTGAGGGTGGTAAGGAAGGGGGAAGGGGAAATAGGGTAACAGAACCGAGGCTGCAGAGCAGCTGAAAGGGGGTCCTGCCCCCTCTCCAGGTTCAGCCAGTGCCTGACAGAGGTCATGTTCCACCCCCCCTTTGTCCTGGAGCCCTGCCTGTGCTCAGCTGAGGATCTTTCGTGGCAATTCAACTGAGGCACGGATGAAGACTGCGTCATCCCGCACATAGTTTCGCTTGCGGATATCCTGGTGGGAGATGAATTTGGGGTAACCAAAACCCAAAGAACTCTCATCCAGGGAGCCCCGCCAAGTGCCTGGTTTTTGGAAATTCTTCCAGTTTGGGTCAGGGTGAAAGGTCTCAGTGACATGCTGCGGCTTAGCCAGCCCAGGGTCGCTCTGATCCAGCAGGGAGAAGGTGACGCGGCGGGCAAAGGGCCACTCAAGGAGATTGTCAAAGGCACCTGGCAGCACGCGAATGTACAGCGAGAGATGTGTGCCTTCACCACTGCCATTGCCATTGAGGAATGCGGACACCTGCAGCTTGTAGCCATACTTATGTGTGTAGAAGGCTGGGCTGAAGCACTCAAGGTTGGGCTTGGCTTTGGCCTCCTGTAGCCGGCGCCCATAGCTGCCAATCTTCCAGATGAGCACACCATCACTGCCCACCGACAGCTCCTCCAGCTCTCGCCGCAGCTCCTGAAGCTCCTGCCGCTGACGGCTCACCAGGGCACACATCATGGCCAGATGGGGCTTCACACTCTCCTCCACATGCCGCGCCATTGCCAGCTTAGGGCACTGTTGGCAAAGCCCCAGGCCATGGGGGAAGGAAGGAGAGTTATCAGTACGGGCAGGCCCAGGGTAGAGGGGAGGAATGGGCACAGGGTGGCAGGCACTCCGTTCTGATTAAGGTTGAGGGCATGAGGAGGATGAAGCTGGCCAGCAGGGGGAAGGGCTGAAAGCTTGAGAGCAGCAGAGCAGGGACCACCAAGGGGCTCAGGCCCGAGTCTACGCCAGGCTTCACGGATCAAGAAGGGGACTGACAGGAAGGAGGGGCGTCTCACCCTGTGCTTGCAGCCGGAGTCTTTGAACGGACACAGCACCAGGGCAGTGCTACAGCTGTCCTTCAGGTGGCCTGGCAGGTCCTCCCGAGCCACGGTGCCCACGCCACACTGGTTGGGGCAGGGCACAGGCAACCTCGGGCACTGGTACTGGTGGCTCTAGGGTGGCAGAGACAGTGGTCAGTAGTCTGACTCCCTGCTACCTGCCCTACAGCCCAGTTCAGGAAGGGCCTCACCTGGATGGTGTCAAAGACGAACTCCTTGGTGCAATAGGTGCAAGGCTGGGTGCGCTTGGGGCACTCAGAGGTGGCATGCTGGGCCAGCAGCCGCCGCATCATGCGGGCACCACACTTGTTCTCACAGTACACACTCTCTTGGGGACACACGCCCTCGTGGCTCTGTGGAAATGTCAGCGGGGCTGAGTTAAGGGGTCCCCGGGCTACCAGGTGCCCCACTCCCTCTCTACCCTCAGCCAGGCCCCACCCACCTCAAAGGCCTCTCCACTGAAGTCACAGCCACAAAACTCGCACTTGAGGCGCCGCTTAGGGCAGTCGTGTTGCAAGTGTGCAGGCAGATCTCGGCGGCTCAGCTTGGTGGGGCAGCG